GATGCTGCAACGTTGCGTTCTCAAGGGACCCAGATGAAGATTTCTGTTCATGGTGTAGTTAAGGAGCCGGACATTATCTTAATGTCCGACGCCACAAAAAAAGACAGTGAGGCACTTATTGTCCAGGTCAGTAGGGATAATTAAAGCTATTAAACTGTTTCTTTGAAACTTTCACTTGCTCTTTCGGGATTCATCCGAGGTTAAAACTGATTTTGAAATCATCGGTTCGTCAAGTTTAACTGGACTTCTTCAGGATTTAAGAAAATACAAGTCAATATGGTGGACTGATGTTTTTGCTTCGGTTTCGATCAATTTTATCAATTTTATTTTTTATACTTTTTTAATCAATTTGAAATTCAGAAAGAGAATTATCATTTGAAGTTTGTGAAGGTAAATATGCCGGAGTAGCGAATTTAAGAATTTGCCGTTACGAGCTCCAGTCCTTCGTAATATTCCCAAACCAATCCCGTGGGAGTTGAATTCTTTCCTTATGGAAACACTTTCACGTATGGCTTCAGGCCACGTGAGTGAAAACGTTCTGTATTATTCTTCTGTAAATTGAAATACGACTTTTAGTGCTTTATGTTGGTTTTGTTTTGTTAATGTTCTTGCGATAGATAGTCGCTCTTTATAGTTTTGATACTTTGTACGAAGAATATTGCTTTCCGAGGGCATTTGTGATTGATAGACAAATGAAACGAAGACGTCTTAAAATAAGGGAGCAGAAAGAAATAAAACAGGACTAGCACGTACGTTATTTTTATATGGTCTTTCAATTTCGTTCATTCAGGCGGAGGTGCAGTTTGATTACAAGCTGGAAGACGCGAAACAGATGGTTTCTGCAAATCTCACAAATCTCCACATGCAAGCCTCACAGTTTCCTGATGTAAAGAAGACATCTTACAAGGTAACTTTAGAAATGGCACTTTATGTATCGGGTTATGAATTGTGCTCGAGGTCACTTGAAGACGACTTTAGTCTCTCGTAATTTGCAGGATGACCAATGACATTAATAGGGGGTAAAGTCACTGGTTGGCTGGTGGCCAACGTAACCTCGAAAAGCCCTATTGGGGAGTGTTTATTTGTATTGTGTTTTATTGCATACGTTGTCTTACATCATGTCTTTTTAAGGGTTCTCCATCGTTCCTGATAGTGCGCTACCTTGCGTGTGGAGTCCTCTTTGTATGTCTTCTTCAGTTCCCTTGGCTCGGCGATTTGTTCACTGCCTTCTATATTGCTTTTCCATTATGGATTCTATCTGATGCACTTGATTTTATTTTCTGTAATTCTTCGCAAGCCAACTCCCATTTTCGTTCTACACAAACGTCATTTTGCTTTTGATAACCTTGATCTGTCATGGTCACCTTCTTCATGTATCGTTTACAGAGAGCTTCAGTTTGGAGTTTCGAATAAATCTTTCATTTCTGTAAGTGTTTCATTTTGTGACTTTTGCCCAACATGATAATTTGATATGGCTTAGCCTGAGTGTTGGGCTTTTTGAAAGTACATCCCCTCCCCTTCGGAAAGCCTGATACTCAGGTTAGGTAAACCTTAAGCAATGTACCAATGAGTAAACCTTTCTTACAGGTTTTGAATCCTTGTTCGCTGACTTTCGAGTACTTAACGCCCGCTTCTAGCGAAGGTGGTCAGGACATTACTATTTCATTGGAAGAGATGGTGTTCGAATTCTCTCCTGGGCTGCTTACCACTCTCAGCAATGTTGTTGCAGCTTTAACAGGGCAACAAAAGGTTTGTTTGTCCCTTACTGACACCTTAAAGTCTTAACATTACATTGCGTTGCGTTGCGTTGCGTTGCGTTGCGTTGTATTGCATTGCATTGCATTGCATCGTATCGCATTACATTACATTATATTACCTTGATTTTGATTTGTTCTGTGTTGATTTTGATATTTACATTCAAAATGTGTGGCAAACTTGATTGCTGGCAAGAAATGTATGTAATTAAAAAGTGGTAAATTCCAACAAAATGATGGAAAGTAATTCTTCTAAGGGTACATCGAGCCAAATGTGAACATTCAAGCATCGCATTGTCAAACTTGGCCAGGTCATTCATACCACTTATTCTTGGGACTCAAAGCGTTGTTCCGGGTAATTTGTCAAAAAATAGCTCAACACTACGCCTCCTGAGTGGGATTCTAGTGTATCGCAGTTTTCTTTAGGTGGTTTGTCAGATTGCCCCAACATTTTGCCGTATCTGTTAATAATCCTTGGCGCGTGGAGGTGTATTGTGAAAGATAGAGCGGTTTTCATTTAATTTGAGTGTCGAAAAGTAATTGGTTTTGCACTTACTTCGCTACGCGATTGGCTTAAAAAACTCTCGCCTGTTTTTCATCCAATCAGAAGTAACCCCAAAACCAATTGTGACTCACTCGCACACGTTTTCGCCTGCTTCGCGTCAGCTACATACTTCGAGATTTGATTGACTCACTG